ACCCTAACCCTAACCCTAACCCTAACCCTAACCCTAACCCTAACCCTAACCCTAACCCTAACCCTAACCCTAACCCTAACCCTAACCCTAACCCTAACCCTAACCCTAACCCTAACCCTAACCCTAACCCTAACCCTAACCCTAACCATGACCCGAACCCAATGTATCACCCTATCCCTCTAGAGGTTCCTTTAGAGGTTCTAGAGGTTCCTTTAGAGGTTCTAGAGGTTCCTTTAGAGGTTCTAGAGGTTCCTTTAGAGGTTCTAGAGGTTAGGGTCAGGCATTAGGTCAGCTATAGATAGAAGCCCTTCGGGCTTCTATAGAGATTCTAAGGTCTTCTATAGAGGTTAGGGTCATGGTTAGGGTCAGGCATTGGGTCAGCTATAGATAGAAGCCCTTCGGGCTTCTATAGAGATTCTAAGGTCTTCTATAGAGGTTAGGGTCATGGTTAGGGTCACATATTGGGTCAGGGTTAGGGTCAGGCTTTGGGTTAGGCTTAGGGTTAGACTTAGGTTAAGGTAGAAGCTTCTAGAATAACCCTAGGGTTATATAAGTATCTCTAAAGACCTTATTCTCTAAGCTTCTTATAACCTTAACTCTTACCCTTATGCTTAGTTTCTAAGCCTTATCTTAGCTACCTTATAGCTATTTTCTCTTTATTATCTTCTTTCTTATAGCTACCTTATACCTCTAGTTACCTTATACCTACCCTATACCTCGGCTACCCTATACCTACCCTATACCTCTAGCTACCCTATAGTAAAATGCCCTCGCAGGTATGCCCTACCTGCCAAGGCAGCTATAGAGATACCCTAGAGCATATACGCAAAAAACACCCGGCCGAGGCCTATACCAACCAACAGCTACAGCCCCTTGGCTTAGTCAGCTGCCCTTATTGCGGCACAGCCTGCCGCGGAAGTCACGGCATCAAGACCCATAGTGCTAAGATCCACGGCATAGAAGGTAAAGCCCATATTTCTACCTTACCTAGGCCAAGGACCTATATAGCTACTAGGGCCACTAATACCTCTAGGGCCTCTTTAGCTTCTTCCCTTAGCCCCACTAGTCCTAATCAGGCTAGCCCGGGCTTAGTTAGCTATAGAGGCCTTATAGGAAGAAAGAGACTAGCAAGGACCCCTTCTCCACAGCTACAAAGACCTACTAGGCGGCAAAGGCAGCTACAGCCTAACTCTACCCTAGAGGAGCCTACCCTAGACCGACCGGCCTCAAGGGAAAGCTATAGGTCTTTTTCTAGCTATGAGGAAAGGGGAAGACCCTCTAGCCCTAGGTCCCTTAGCTCTAGCTCCTCTTGCCCTAGCACGCCTAGCCACAGGCCCTCTAGTCAGGGACCTACCCTAGAGCCTCTAGAAGAATATACCCTAGAGCCTCTAGGGCCCCTAGAGGAGCCTACCCTAGAGCTAGAGACTAGGGAGCCTAGGGAGCCCAGGGAGCTTACCTTAGAGCCCGAGCCTAGGGAGCTTACCCTAGAGCCCGAGCCCAAGGAGCCTACCCTAGAGGGGCCTACCCTAGAGCAGCTACACAACCAAGCTATAGCCCCAATCCTAGCCAAGGCTTCTATGCAGAAGCTATTAGCCTTTGCAAGGATCCCTATACCGGAAAAAAGGCTACATGCAAGGCAGGCTGCTATTTTCACAGCTACAGCCCATAAAGCTGCAGCTGCCTTTCTAAAGAGGCCTACTGAAAAGGCCCTCTTATATTTCCTTATCTTGCCTAGGCTACTAGGGTTAGGGTTACAAAAAGGAGGCCTAGCTACCCTTCTTAGGTCTTTCCCTTCTAACCTACCTACCCTAGAGAGCCTAGAGTCCCTCCAGCAGCCCCCTGAGCCCCCCAAGGCAGCTAGACCCTCTATAGCTCCTAGCCCGGCCCAAAGGGCAGCTAAGCTACTAGAGAGAGGCTACCTAGGCCGGGCTGCTAGGGCTCTTATTGATCCGACCCCTATAGCACCTAATTCAGTAGAAAATAGGGCTAGGCTGCTAGAAAAGCACCCTATTGGATCAAAAGACCCCTTCCAAGGCAAGACCCGCCCAAGGGCCGGCCAACCAATCACGTCAGAGACTATTATAGCAGCTATAGCCTCTATAGGCAAGGAAAAGGCCCCGGGCCTTAGTGGCTGGACTAGGCCTCTTCTAGACCTAGTAACTAGGAAAGATTCCCCTGTGATAGCTTTCCTAAGGCTGCTAGCTGATATGATTCGCCAAGGCACGGCCCCTGGAGCCCACCTATTATGCGCTAGCCGCCTTATAGGGCTTGAAAAGCCCGATGGAGGGGTTAGACCTATAGCTATAGGAGATCTTATCTATAGGGTAGCTATGAAGGCGATCCTAATGACCTCCTATCGGCCGAATATGCTCTTACCCTTCCAGCTAGGCGTGAATAGCCCAGGCGGGGTTGAACCCGCTATTTTCCTCCTCTATGAGGCTATTATAGGCTCAAATGAGGCTAATTTCCAGCAGCTAGCCTCTATAGACCTTGCTAATGCCTTTAACTCAGTAGATAGGGCTTCTATAGCTGCTTCTGTAGCTACTTTTGCCCCTACCTTCTATAAGGCAGCAGCTTGGGCCTATAATGACCCTTCTATCTTAGTTATGGAAGATGGGTCAGCTATAGCCTCGGCCAAGGGCGTAAGGCAAGGTGACCCTCTTGGACCTCTTCTTTTTTCCCTTGCCTTTCGACCTACCCTAGAGGCCCTAGCTAGGAAGCTACCTAGGGCAACCTTAGTAGCTTACTTAGATGACCTCTATATACTTAATAAGGCTCCGCAAGGCACCCTAGAGGCAGCTAAGGAGGTCTTAAAAGGCTCCCCTTTTAGCCTTAACCTAGCTAAAAGCAAGGAAAAGGCTATAGAGGACCTTAAGCTAGAAGGCTTAAAAGCCTTAGGCACCTATATAGGCCCTATCCGGCCTAGAAGAGCCTTCTTGCAAGAAAAGCTAGCTACCTTACAGGAAGCCCTAGAGGCCCTGCAAGACCTTCCTAAGCAGCACTCTTTGCTTCTTCTTAGAGGCAGTATCCAGCTTCTTCTAAGGCACCTCCAGAGGCAGCTAGACCCAACCGGGCTAGAAGACCTTTGGGAAGAGGCTGATACCCTTATAAGAGAGGCTATTATAGCCCTAGTGGCTAGAAGCCCTAGTGAGTGCCCTAAGGAGCCTAATTCAAACCTTATAGCCCTTCCAGTCAGAGAGGGAGGCCTAGGAATACCCTTACACAGAGACCTAGCCCACGAGCTATTCCTAGCAGCTAGGGAGGCCTCGCAGCCTACCCTAGACCTCATCCGGAAGCCCCTAGCCCCTTCTAGCCCTAGCGGCAGCCCAGGCCCTAGACTAGGAAAAACAGCACAACAAGTGCTAAAAGATGCAAATAAGGCTAGGCTAGTAGGCTTCTTAGAGGACCTCCCCGCTAGCTATAGGCATGCTAGGCTAGAAAATGCTAGCTATCTCGGCCGTAAGTGGCTCGGAGTCTTACCTACCCAAAAAGCCCTATCTTTCACAGACTCCGAGGTCACTGAAGCCCTCCGAAGCCGGCTCTTTTACCCAATCAAGCCTATCAGCCTACCCTGTAGCTCCTGCGGAGCTATAGCTGCCTTAGGCCATCAAGATACCTGCAAGGGTGCTAATAGAAGGTGGATTGCAAGGCATGACGCTATAACTAGGGCCTTTATAAGGGCCCTAAGTAGCCAGCCTACCCTAGAGGTCGAAAAAGAACCCCTAGTCCACCCAGAAGCTAGCCTAAGGGCCGACTTTGCAGTTAACCTAGGAAATAGCCGCTATTACTATGATATTCAAATCGTAGCTATTTTAAAGGATTCTGCTAAGGAAGACCCTTATAGCACCCTTAGAGAGGCTGCCGAAGAAAAACGCAGAAAATATAGGTCTCTCGGGGCCTTTTTTCAGCCTCTTATTATCTCAGCAGGTGGCCTTATGGACCTAGAGACAGCTAAGACCTATCAGAAGCTCCAGGACCTTATTGGCCCCCTTGCGGCTAACCAGCTAGACTCCTCTATTAGCCTTGCCCTAATGAGGACTAGGGCGACCTCGGCGGCTTCTATAGCCCGAGATACCCCTAGTAACCTAGCTAGGTCGATCTGGAATACTTCTAGGGCTTCTTAAGGCTTTTCTTTATTCTTTACCTTTTACCTCTTATCTCTTATCTCTTATCCCTTATATCTTTGCCTTTTTCTTACTAGCTATATCTATCTCTTTTAGTTATATCTCTTTTTCCTAGCTATATCTTTCACCTAGTTATATCTCTCCCCTAGCTATATCTATTTCTTAGTTATACCTCTTTCCTAGTTATATCTCTTATGCTTTTCCTTTATTATTTCTTAGAAAAATCTCCCCTCTTTTATCTATAAGCTATATCTTAGCTAGAAGAAACCCCTAGGGCAAAATAGCTTAGATAGTTAATAGTTGCTCTGTTCTAACCCTAAGATTATTAAAAACTTAGATATAAAATTAAGATTTTTATAAATCTTAATATATTAATTTAGGGTTTATTAAATATATTTTTTATTTAATAATTTATTATTAAGAACTTATATAATTTCTTTATTATATTATAAGTATTCTTAAATAAGAATTTATTTAAAATTAATTAATTTAATATTTTTTTATAATATCTAATTAAAAAATATAAAAAATATCTAATTATATATATTTTATTATATAAATTATTATATAAAATAATTTTATTAATAAATATATTATATAAGAAATTAATTTAATAATTATTAGGCTTATTTAATAGATTTTTTTTCTTAGATTAAAAATTAATATTATTTTTTTTATTAAGTTATTATTTAGGATTTTAGATTATTAATATAAAATATAACATTTTTATTATCCTTAATATAAAAATTTATAAATATATTTATTTTAATTATTTCTTTAATATATCTTATTATAATAATAATTTATTTATTTTTATTATTTTATAATAAATTATAAAATAATATAAAGGTAAATTTATTCTTATTATTTTATTAAATAACCTTATTAATTTATTAATCTTAATAAAGTTTTTATTTTTTTTTTAATTATAATAAAAAATAAATAGTTATTTCTATAATATCTTTTTTTTATAATTATAATAAATAATATAAGATTTATTTTATTAAATATTCTTAATATCTATAAGTCTTAATTAAATATTATATAAAATATTTCTTTTATTTTTATTATTTTTATTTTTTTATCCTTAATTTTATTTATTATTTCTATTAAGGTAATAAAGATTAAACTAAGAGGTATAGCCTTTATTTCTCTAGGCTATTCTCTCTTAATATTATTTATATTATTATTTATTAATCTTAATAGCTATTTTAATATATTAATTAAAGTTATTAAATTTATTTATTTTATATAATTTACCCTTAATTCTTTTTTTAAGTCCTTAATAATAAATCTTTATAAAGGCTTTATTATTTTATTTAATCTTAGATATAAATTATTAAAAGGTTATAAAATAAATAATATATAATTTATTTTAATTTAAGCTATAAAGTTTAATAATAACTTATTATTTCTTATTAATAATCTTAAAGGCTTTTTTAATAATTATTTTAAAATTATTTTAATTAAGAAAATATTAATAATTTTTTAATTTTAATTAAATTTATTTGTATTTTTTAAAAAATCTTTTTAAATAAATTTAAATTATATTTTAATAATTTTATAAAGTAAAAATATAATAAAAAGTATTTTCTTTATATTAATATTAATATATTAAAGAAAAAACTTAAAATATCTTTTTATTTTAATAAAAAAAGATATAATATTATAGGCTTATTTTATAAATAATTTAAATATTATAAATTTAATAATTTCTCTTAAATCTTTATTATAATATTACTAAGTAAATATTATAAGCTAATTTTATATTTAACCTTGGAATTAATTAATTATATCTCTAAGCTATTAGATTTTAGCTATAAGTTTAATAATATTTAATAATATCTTATTATAATGTAATAATCTTTTAAGAAAAAATTTAATAAATAAGGTATTTTATTTATTAAAAAATATATTATTTAATAATAAAAGTATTATATAATATAATATAAAAATATATTAAATAAAAAGCTATTAATATATAATATTTAAAGTTTTTTAAGGGAATAAATTAAATATATTAGGTTTATTATTAATAAAGAGTCTTATTATTATTATATAATATAATAATTATATCTTAATAATAAATTAAGAAGGTCTTAAAGGTAATTAAAGTCTATTAATAGCTTAAAGGCTAGGTATCTATCTAAGGTATAATAAGTATTATATATATATAAGGGGCCTTATATTTATAGAAATAAGGTCTCTTATAATTAGTATATTAGGAAGGGAGAATATAGGGAATAAAAATAATATGTGATAAGGGATATATTAGGCTATAATATTCAATCCCTATACTCCTAGCACTGACTTTATAGGCGTCTACTTTGGATTCCCTGGTATTATAGTTATAGACTGCTCGCGTAGCGATAGCTAGGCTTCTTAGCCTAATATCCCTGGCTAGGATTGGGTGCCTCTGCTTAATACTAAAGACTTAAGCCTTAATATTAGTAGATATAAAGGCGCCCCTAATATCCTTGGCGAATAGTATTTGCGACTGTGGGTGGGTAAAGACCTAAGCCTTAACTTAAGTAAGCTTATATTAGAGGAGTTTATTAAGATAGTGCTTAATAGGGCTCGAGAGTATGGGTCTCTCTTCGCTATAAATAATGCTGACTTATCGAGATTTAGAGATGCTAGAGGTAAGATAATAACGTTCTATAGGGTAGTAGCCTATCCTCTTAAAGCTATGTGTGCTATGTAATAGAATCGCTAACCAGGACCCCCCTATAGGCTAATAGTTATATTCTAATTAGTAATACCTTGGATTATTATGATCGCGTTATATCGCTTCTCCCTAATACTTGCGATTTTTATTGATATTTTAAGGTCCCTAGCATGGATTATTGCTAGGGCGGCATAGGCAGATAGCCTATTACTATATTTAATTAGCTCCGTGCCTAGGTTAAGAATAGGACTATGCTAGAGAGCTCCCCTATGAGCTTTAATAACTCTAAGGGGGTAAATTAGAAATATATCTTATATCCCTTCCTATAAAAGTCTTAGTATAGTAAGGAGTGTGGAGATATAACCGCTGCTAAATGCTAGTCTTGCATAGAAAACTAATAACTCGGTTAAAGATTGTATCTTAGATTTTTTTATATGCGGAAAAGCTTATACCTAGGGATAGTCTTATTACTTGGAATTATCTTATAGCTATTCCTTTTGTTTAGAGTCTTATAGTTCTTCGTCTGAGTCGTTCGTTAGTAGGTATTTATAGTCTATGTAGAATCCATCCCTAAAGACCCGGGATACTTCTAAGATTATTTAGGAAAGGACCTGAATATTATTAGATACGCGTGTTCATATAATAATAGGGATAGATAGTTAGAAGATAGAGGAGGAGTAAGAATGATTGTTTTTAGGATAATAATTATATATATGACTGATCTATAGATATGTTATCTCTTTATTCTTTATTCTCCCTCTTCCTCTCTATATCTAAAGAGGCGAGGCTAAGATACTAGATCTGCTGATCCTGCAATAGGTCTATAACGCTGTTCAGACAATTTATGTATCATCGTGAGACATCTTCCCTTGAGGTGGCTGCCTATGTAATATCATTATTCATGCCACTTCTCCAACATAAACCGGCCGTGCTGGGTTTATGTTGGCAGAGGATCAGGTTGCGTTGCTCTGAGCGGTTGGGTTATTACGTCTGGTGATGTGCTCAAAGGTATTGAGTGTAACTAAGTTGTATTGATAGCTGAGGTAGCTACTACATAAGAGATGTACAAATGAGTGCGTACTATATACTTATGGCTGTGATGTCTGGTCACTATGCTCTGGGTCCTGATCATAGTGATCGTGTAGGTGATCACGGTAATCAAGGTAATCACGGTGATTGCCCAGGCGTCAGGGGTGATCGGGTCATGATTGGTGAGAAATTACGGGGGTCCACCTGCACGTGACAACTCACATGTCAGGTCGTGACAATAGGTGTTGGATACGCGATGGGTAGGGGTGAATTCAGTAGATTGTGGGCCAGAAATTGATGATCTTATTGATTGAAGCCTTGATCATCTTGTTCTTGCTCGCTTCGTCATCGTGTGGGGGCGTTGGTCCATTCTTGATGTTTTCACCGCCACAAGCCACACATTGTTATAACGAGGAGCAAACTGTTGAATTGGGCCCTGTACGCAACAAGCTCACGTGGAACCCCAAGAAGGAAATTGGCCCAATTAGGCAAGAAGGAGGGGGAGCTGCGTATATCATAAGTGGCGATGACCTCCAGACAGTCAGATTGAACTCAATAAGAAGAACAACACAATTGTAGTCATCTTGGTGCCACACGTGCTTTCCGACACAAACTCCCTTCTATCCGCACACAGGCGCCAATCTAACAATAGGCCACGATTTCGTGTATTGGGACCTAATACTGAAGGGCACGGACCATCAAATCGTGTATCCGGACCTGATACGGGGGGGTAATTGGCACAGTAGGCCGAGCAATAACACATTATGCTTACGATTCCGTATCATCTGTTATTGATAAATAAGCATCTGAAGCCATCTAGACATTTATCATCAAAGATACAGAAGAGCTCTACGTCAGTCGTACCCTCATTATTTACCCGAAACCAAAGGCCATCTTAAGAATTTGTATAATCACGTGTACACGAGCATACACGGCTCATACCCATTTATTTGTATGTGATATAAAGGCTCTCAAGGCGCGACCCCCGCTAGAACCTGACTATTGGTATGTCACATCCTACTCAGATGCCTTCAATACCTCAGTCAAGTCAACCAGCACTTTCTGCCCATCAACAACCTTGACACTCGCAATCAGCAATGTAGAAGACTTGGTACCAACGCCAGTCTCCTTATTGGAGTCGGTGAAATGCACCAACTGCGAGACACACCCGGCGCCAGAGCCGTCGGGTGCATCCCAGCATTGGATTTCCTTGGTGCTCTGGATGCTCGTCATGTTATCGACACGAAATTTCATGATAGCTTCCATGAAGGTTTGTCGCGAGAATTGGTCATGGTTGATTCTTAGTGACACGATTAGTTCAGCTCCGTTCCACCGAGGTGGAACCCTTTCAGCGTCTGACTTACCTCGCAGTGAAGCCCTCTGCGACACACTCTTTGAAGGCACTCGCCGAGACTTCATCATTTGGCTGACAGAAGATGCGGTCGTAGAGATCCTCAACCCATTTACCCAGGGCAGAAGAGGAACGAGTGGGTTCGAAAGTGTTGGCCATGGTGAGTGAGAATGAGGTTTAAATGAATTTTGGAGAAGTGATGGTAATGTCTAAAGATGATTTAGAGAAGTTGCACTTGGAGAGCTTCACAGGCACTTATTTATACCCATTGTCCAAGTCATGGGCTTCGATATGGGCGTCCGAGTCGGGAACGGATCCACACGGAGGTTTAGTCTAGCGTGCGGAACTCCGCATCTTAGTCAAATTAGGCCCCGCATCAGCATCAGGCCGGGATTACCGGGTTCGGCGCTGACCGACTTCTTTTTCAAATGCCGCGAATCTCCGCAACCCGACTTTCTTTTTCTGGGCGTAGTCAGCCAACGTTTTGACAAAGAGTCACAGTTTCGTCTCGCGGAAACATGATATCATCAAGACGAAAGTCCTGCTCCGCTTGTGCCCGGGGCAAAAGGCGGTGCGACCTCGGGTTCCCGCAGTGTGGGCGCTGTCTTGCAAGGCGAGTCACCTGTGTGTATGCTTGGATATCACCCCAAGAAGCCCAAGAGGTGGTAAAAACCACCAACCCAAGTCTTTGGACACCGCAAGAGAGTCCACATCATTATCTTGATCAAAGCGGCACTACCGAAGCATATCAGTCGAGTCACGACTTGCCCGGACCAGGAGAACGCCATGCCAATAATGATACCACATTTTGCCCAGCTCCCATGACTCTCTCCCCGGCCCTGGTATCTCTAATAGATGAGATTACCGGCCGAGGAAGAACCATATCATTCCTTGCCCCAGGCCCCCAACTTCAATTCCTCGACAAGTCATATCCAAATGCGGGCTCAGATGTACATGCGCCCCAACCTCCACAAAGCATTGGTATTCCACCGACACCTTTCCAAGGAGCCAGTGGTAGCTCCATGTATACAGACAAGATCTTTCAGGCACGTGCAGAGTATGCTGCCAGCCGCCTAGTCCGTCAGGTTAGGACTTTAGCAGAAACGGGACAAACATCCTTTATCCACCACTCTCATATCGACGGCTCTGCTATATTGCGAGACGCTTTCGCTGCTTGCTGCCTAAACATGACACGCAACTCGGCAAATGAGTCGCTTATTCGGTCAGAGATTGCGAGGCGGGCAGAACTGCTTATAGAGGCTACAGAGACAGCCATCTCCCTGACGCCGCCTAGTTCTCATTCGGCCATGAATCTTGACCTCCTACCCGCTGTACAGGCCATGCTTATTTACCAGTGCATGCGGCTATTCTCAACTGGCGACATTGCACAACAGACACAGGCGGAGCTAGACGCTAAGTCGCTTGCAAGATGGGTCGACATCTTGCAAGAACAGACTCAGTGGTCGTGGGATAACTTTTCCAGCGGTACACAGCTCGACCTTTCCGTCTGGAAAGACTGGGTCCAAGCAGAAAGCATCCGACGTACCATGATCTTTGCAGAGCTGCTGGACGGCATCTACACCTTCCTTAGATTTGGCTGGTACCAACCCAGTGCGAGGATGGCCAAGCTGGGCTTTACAGGACAAGTCGCTATATGGGAAGCAAGGTCGCCAGCAGAGTGGCACCAAGCAAGAGGGCAAAAGCCTTGGGTCGAGTTAAATATCTCGAGTTTCCATGACGGCATCAAGGCGGCATTTCCTGACGACCTTGATGAATTGGGAATCATCATCCTGGTAAGTTATGATGGCGTTGACGTGTTGGAAGAGTGGGCGGGTGACGACAACAGACTGCTTGAAAAATGGGGGTTAAGCTCCGGGAATGACTTCTTCTCTTCGCGCTGTTGATTCACCACAATTTCAGGTTTATCAGCTTGGCTAACTCTCTGGTGTCGTTTATCTCTTGTAGCTGATTCTCATTTTCCTCATCAGATTCTTTACTATCGCAGTATGTGCATGTGATGATGTATTCAAGTATCTTCAGGCGTTAAAATAACTACCAGTCGCAATCCTGTATTTAGAGAGCTCTGCTATTAGCTACGCTTACTCGTAGCATTAGAGGACATTGCTAATTAGTAATTTGCTTACTTAAAATAGAGTAACTGTGTCACTCTTCATACGCTGTAATGAACTTGGAGCTTGTGTATATAAATGAACACTAGTTATTAAATGGTCACTAATTCTGTGTGAAATAAGCAGGCGGTCAAAATGTGCAAGTGTTGATTCTACACAACCTCGCCTCACGGCCCTCTATATATTCCTATAAAACTGCCCATAACACTCTAGGTCGGCTTAAACTACCATGGTTGGGACTCTGTCCTAGATACGTTATTTATTCCTCGGGTACAAGCTTCGCACACGCGACCCTTCGTCCCCTACTGCTCATCCTCCAACCCCACAAGCTTGAGCGAGTCCCTCCATAACCTTCCCTCTTTCTCGGCATCATAGGCGTAGGCAGCATACGTGGGCGTGATCATCTTGTCCTCCCCACCCGAACCTGGCTCGGCCACAGCGCAATCGACAAGGTACTTGCCACCGTCATGCTCCCATGACTCACCGACGGTCGCCCACACCGTCGTTGCGGCGCCTTGCTCGACGTTCTTCATCAATGACATCACGTGATCCATCCCCTTAAAGGCGTCGGGGGGCATGTGCCTGGTCAGCCCTGTGTGGACAATGCCTGGGTGGACACTGGTTGCGTGCAGGTGATGCGCACCATAGCGGCGTTCGATCTCGTTGGCCATGTAGATGTTTGCAGTCTTGGATTGGCCGTAGGCAGCGTTAGGATCGTAGTCGCCGCGCTGGAAGGCGTAGTTATCGGCGTCGTTGATGCCATGGAGGTTATGACTGGAGGAGGACACATTGACAACGCGAGAGGGGAGGGCAGGGGAGGCGCCGGCGAGGAGGGCGCGTTTGAGCAGCATAAAGAGGAGGAAGTGAGAGAGGTGATTTGTGCCAAACTGGAGCTCATGGCCATCGATAGTAAAGCGAAGGTCAGGGATAGCCATGATACCAGCATTATTGATGAGGGCGTGGATCTTGGAGGTCTTATTAAGAATAGCAGTGGCGGCAGCGCGTACAGAGGATAGGGATCCCTGATCCATCTGGAATAGCTCCATACGGGAGGGGTCGAAGATGCCATCAAGGGCGGACTTGGCCTTGTCGAGATCCCGGGCTGTAAGGTAAAGGGTAGCGCCAGTAGCGGCGAGGGCGCGTACAGTTTCGATACCAATGCCAGAGGAGGTGCCAGTAATAACAATAACCTGGCCCTGGAGCGTGCCCTCGACGCCTTCGTCTTGGATGATTTGGAGGGCTGTAGGGCGGGCATCGCCTGGGCCCTCGGGCTTGATGTGGGCAGCGGCGTAGCGAGACATGATGAGCGGTGATAAGTGATGACTTAATCGGTCCGAAAGAGTTAATAGTTGCGAAGGGGAAAGGTCTAGTATTGACGATATCGAATGGTTGTGAGTGTGAGTTGAAGTAAGAGGGGACAGTTGTATTATATAGTCTCGCTCTCTAGGCTGCTGCAACACTATTACAGCTTATTCGGAAAGAGTATCACTTGGCAGGACCACAACGTAGAAAATAACTTACAAATCAACACCCACTTTAGAGACTCGATGGAGATAGGACATGATAGAAAATCTTAACGCCGCCTATTGAGAGAGATGTTTAGGAAACCTAGATCAAGATCGGTTTGATGACATTCTTGCTGTTTCTGGCCTAGCCCGCCCGCCGGACTTGTCGAAGTACTATCGAAGTACAAAAAGTGGAAAACCTCCCGCCAGGTCACGGCAGGGGGGTGCGGCCAATTAAAACGCATCAGATCAGCGGTACCTAATCCTCCCCCTTATTTTAGCCTATGATAGAAGTACCAGCAATCTCTCGAGTTACAAATTGCTACATCACACTGCTCACATCCTCAAATTGATTGACGGATAAACGGGTCCTGGGGTACCTCCTTGACGAGAAGCTCTCGTCGCGGCACCTCGAAGGGTTAAAAATCGAAGCCTCGGTCTTCGGCAGGCGGAAAAGCTGGTCTCCGGGTGCTTTCACCCTCATGCTCTTGGAGGCTATTATCTTCATTGATCAATCTGAAAGAACTTCTATGGGGATGTAGGCGGAATCAATTAATGACGCGCCATAAGGTTCCCCTCATGCACCTCTGAGAAGGTGGGGGGGGATGTGGGGCTCGGTACGGCCGGGAGGTTTTCCAAGGGATACTATGGAGCTGATGACATTTTGTCCTCGTTCAGTCTAGCTTGCGGAGCTTAACTGTGGGCTTGCTGCGTCAGCGCGGGCGGTACTTCTCAGCTCTTGAGCGAGGCCGATGGACTCGTCTGCCTACTTTCTTCACTCCTCCTCATTACATCTCAAAGCCGAGAGGATACAGAACAGAACTTGACGTTGGGCAAATCAGAATGATGGGACATGCCGTTCATGGTCCCGCAGAAGCCGAGACCAGCAACCAGCGCAGAAAGCTCCAGAACCGGAAGAACCAAAGAGCACGTCGTGAGTCGTTCCCTTGGTTCCACATCCTCAGCAGTGCTCATAAACGCCTTTAGGACGACGACTCAAGGGTAAAAACACCGAGACAGATCAGGGGTCGCCCCCATTTGAGGTCAGGCGCTGGCGCGTCGACGAGCCCGACAGTTTCTCCTCCCAAGACACAGACACAGACACGACAACCGTATACAGGTCCCATCCTCCGTCTCGCACACCTCCCTCCACTACCGAGCGTGTCACGGTCCTCCGAGTATCACCGCCCACGGCGCACCTTGACCAAGTCATAACCATGGCCTCAACCCCCCAGCCCTTCAACGTCAACTTCCCCCTCCCCTCCGACCACCTCCTTCATCTCATCCAGTACAACGTCTTCCGCGCCTTCATCTCCATCAAGCGCACTCTGAATACTGTATCATCCGACCCAACGACCTGCCCCGTTTTCGGTCCCTGCTTAGACGACACGACCCGCTACCCCCCCAACCCCAACATCCCTCCCTCCCTTGCCCCTACCACCCTGCAGCTAACTCGATACCACTTCCCCTGGATCAACATTATTCCTTTCGCCCGCGTCCGCGACAACCTTATCCGGCGCGAAGGCCGCTTTGACAATTGGGAACTGTGGCAAGACCTCGTCGGCGAGCTCATGAGCTCTACAGCGGTCGCATGGCAGCGAGGTACGCCCGTTAGCTTCTCCGCCCCCGTCCCCGAACTCAGGCAGTCACCGACCCTCTTATCGGGGAGTTACACGGACACGGATGACGTCACCGCCGGGCGCAACGGCCTCATCATTTGGGGCGAGCCGCACGACATGCAGAGCTGGGAGGCTACTCCTGGCTTTCTTACCAAGTGGTCATGGGCCGTCGAGGGCTGTGAGGAGCTGGTAGAGATTAGTAATCGCTGGAGGATGAAGAGAGGGGAGGAACCTATGCGGCTGTCGATGTCGGTGTTGGGGACATTTGCTTGAGAAGCCTTGTTAATCATCAGATTTAGTCCCTCTGCAAGAGATCATGCCCTCATGGTGTAGATAGGAGTGAAGTCCTCCTTTTATTCAGAAGAGGCCTATTTAGTGAAATGTAAACCTAAGCGCCGTCCCTCAAATCAAACAAATCAAATCCAGAGTCATATTTGAAATATTTGATGGCCTGCAAAACCAGATTTGTTGTTTGAAATATTTAATTAAATATTTCAAATCCCAACATCTATGCTCTCCATACTACTCTCAATGTCCCTGTGTAACCCATCCTTCCTAGGTGCAGTAGCCCCAAGCTTCATGGCACCATGCCTGATCTAGTTCTTGAGGCACTATAGCCTCGTGTGACGGTCGAGGTTCCCAACATAGTAAACCGTAACCGAATTGGTTTATGTTAGCAATTATAACGGGGCGTAACGTACTAAGCATAGGGTAGCGAATTATATCTAATAATATTAAGAAATATTCTTAAGTAATTAAGTTATATTAAAAGCTAGAGAACTATCTAGATATAGGAAAGTAAGAATAAGCGAGGCTATATATACTTATTTTAATTTACTTAGTCGATTATAGCTAAATACGCTCTTATTCGATTTATTTGATTATTTAAGGTTAAGGTTTTACTTTTAGTTAAATATAGTCGAACTTATTCCTATTCGACTAATTTAATTATATATTACTTCCACCGGGGCCTATTTATTCTATTCCGAGCTCTAATGTTTTCTATTTATATCCTGGTTAATCTTCCTACTCGTAATATACTTGAGAACTTCTTTTTTTCTTCTTCATCTTTGATATAAATAGCATCCTGGACTAGATAGCTGGAATACAGTTACTAGAGGCCGTTCATACTAGCTAGCTAGTGTCTAGTATATATTAGTGCTTATCTCATACTAACTGTGACAATCGTGGGATTCCTAAGGGATAAACAGGTCGTATTAGGTTTATATTGGCAGAGGGGATACTAGCGTTATCTTAAATAGGGTATAAGTCACGTCTAGTAATGTGCTCAAAGGTATTAAGTATAACCAAGTTGTATTAATAGCTAAGCTAGCTGGTAAAACGGGTTAATAATTAATACCCCTTTTAAATAGGCATCTCTCTACTATAAGAAGCTACCTAATAGCAAGTAGAGTTTTATTATATTGTTTACGCTTAATACTCTACGTATGACGATCATGGGATTCCCAAGGGATAAACTAGTCGTATTGGTATATATTAGCAGAGGAGAATATTATATAGCCTTAAAGGGTAATATAAATCATATCTAGTAATATACTTAAAGTGTGACGGCAGTCACAGCTGTGGGCACCTTAGCCACTGCGCCACGGGGCAAAAGATTGGGCCATAATCGCTATTGTAGCAATTACAGAAGGTGCTTCAACTGCCTATAGGGCTTCAATCGCTGCTACGGGGGACCAAGCCGTAACATAAAGGTATTAAGTATAACTAAGTTATATTAATAGCTAAGGTAGCTGCTATATAAGAAAATATAATAAATACGTCCTATATACTTAGAGTTAATCTTTAGACTAATGCTCTCTAAGTTCGGTCTAGGGCAAGACTAATATCTTTAGCATTTAGTCCTTAGACCGATATAGGCGAGGTTTAGTCCCTTTGGTCCCTTACTTAGTTAGAGTATTTCTACTATGTTTCTCCGCCTGGCTTATATTATAGTCGTGATACTAAGGATTATTATAATTCTAAGCTAACTATAATCTCTTTATAATTAACTTAGTATATAATATATACTTATATATACTTTTTTATATATTAATTACCTAAGTTATTAATATAACTTAGTTATATTTAATACCTTTAAGTATATTATTAGATATAACTTATATTACCCTTTAAGGCTATATAATATTCTCCTCTATTAATATAAATTAATATAATTAGTTTATCCCTTAAGAATCTTATAATTATTATATATTAATAGCTCTTATTTAGAGGATTACTTATATTACCTTAAATAATATTAAATATAATAGCTACTTAGGCTACTCTTAGTAATAACTATTAATAAGTTTTACTTATTAATTATTTACTTACTTTTATTATGCCTATTTAGGCCGACCCTAATAATAATAAGGAGATAAATAATAATAATAAAGAAGTTAAATAGCTCTAAGCCTAGGTTACCGCGATAATTACTAAAATAGATAAGCTTAGAGGACTTATTAATTATATAGCTATTAATTAATAGACTTAAAATTAGTAGTATTAGGATAATATCTAGCTTATTAATAATATAGCTATTATAGCTATAAAGGGCAAGGATATTAGAGAAATCTTAAAGCTAGAATTACTAGAGAAGTTTAATAGTACTATATATAAATTATTTACCTTTCTTATATAATTATACGCTTTTATAGTATATTACTTAACTTAGTTTAACCTAGAATCTAGTTATATCTAATATATTATAAGGCGACTTATTAAGTATACTATTATATAATTTAAACCTAATATAAGAGAATACCTTAATACTCCTTTTGCCTAACTTTTATTCTATACCCGCGAATTCTATGCCGATTATATTAAGTTTAAAGCTACCTTATAGTAGGCCTTTAGAATTATTAATAAGAAAATATAAGCAGAATAAGAGATTAAGGTATTAAATTAGACTTAATTTGCCTTAGAATATAATATTAAATACCTCTAATTCGCCTCGAAGCTAAGATAAGACTAATAATCCCTTATATTATTCTTCTTTAATAGACTTAAGAAAGATATATAAGCTAAACTCTATAAAGAAGATTAACCTAATAATCTTATTAATTATATTAGATAAATAATTAAGATTAATAACTAATAATACTTATAGAAGAAACTCTAAAACCTATAAAGTAATAAGGGGAATTATTAGAGACCCTGATTTAATATTAACTAAGAATACTCGCGAATTAATATTTCTTATAGGATTTACCTAGGGCTAATATAACTTAGTATTATTTAGTAAAGAATTATAAATATTAAATATTATTATTACTATAAGAAAGGCTATAGAGCTAATAAGTACCGGAAGAAATAATAGGATATCTAAGAGGGATAATATAAGCCTAAGTAATAATAATAGCTCCTAGAAAGTAAGAAGTAAATAAGGTTTATATAAACTAATAATAAATTATAAATAGCTATTTATACTATAAAGACCCTCGGTATAATACGGATAAGATATAATAATACTAGTTTAGAACTAGGGGAAGTTATTATGCTATATAATTAAGTATACCTTACTAATAAATAATTTAAGTATAATAATTACCCCTAGCTAAAATTATAATATATTATAAAGAAATTACCTAAGGTAGAATAATTATACCTTACTAATATAATAAAATAGTAATTACTACCTAAACTAGCTAAATAGCTACCTATAGGACTAAATATAAGGATTATTACAGTTATATAACGCCCTAATAGGCATTATAAGGATTCTAATTATACTATAGGAGTAGAAGTATAATAATAACTCGCTATAGCCTAGATCTAGAATTAATATAATAGAAGGTTAGATAATAACCTATATGTTACATGCCCCAGTCATACGGGTTCCCCACGTGACGGATCTAGCGCTATAACAGTCAAATCCAGCAGCCATTAGTTAGGAAGAATCAACTTAGATTAGATTACTTACATTGTGCCTTCTTTGCTCTCTATACTTTATGAATTATATGACTTCAACCAGATAGCTGCCAAAGTCAGCTATCTCACTGCCGCTTTCAGCGGTACCTCTATCCCTTACCAGAGCTAAGGGATCCATAACATATGGTAGCAGTTGACGCTTCTTTCAACTCGACCTACGCTTCATTCGACATATTCCACGTCGAAACCAAGTGAAGCACCGGAAGGAAGTTTCAACTCTTTTCATTCACAAACACAACGGATCAATACCTTCGTCCCCATCAATGGGCCAGACGAAACCAACAACCTCTATGTCGACCCCGAGTTCGTCAAAACAGGACCTATTCGAGCAAGCCTCCTACCAGACAGTCGCAAGGGCTTTAGCAAAAGCGAAATTCACCAAGAACGATTTCAACCACCTACGACGATTCCGAGTCTTTCTACTACAGAACCCAACCTTCAGACACAAGAAACGACTCCTCGCTGAACCAGGCGTACTCGAAGACCTAACCGAGCTCTCCTACTGGGAAATAGACGAATTCAACGCCTTCTACAGAGACGTGGCACCAAGCACAGAACAACCACCATATCACTGGAACGCCACGGATCCATACGCCATCGGACAAGCCTAGGAGACTGCCAAAAAGATCATTAAGAGAGCCAGACGCGAAGGAGCGCTGCCACCCGACGACGAACTCTCAGTCTACGCTTCATCGACGGATACGACACTCGAGCCGTCAGGACCGACAACTGAGGCATCGAATACGGATCCTTCGCAGGAAAAAGGAAAAGAACCGGAACTAGCAGCGTCGACGGCACTGGGGAAGCGAAAGACCCCGAATCGACCAGCGCTATCAGACCCGATACAAAGCCTCGGTCCTAACACCCCTGACGCCGACTACCTCACCGCTTCGACCTTCCGTCTCTCGCCGAATCCGACGCTAGGACGTCAGAACCATCCTCGCGTCCACCAACCAAGCGCGCGAACGGAAGCACCGGAAATTACGGATCCGACAGCTCGACCCCCGGTTCCCAGCATGAACCAGTCAGACCCAACCGCGGGAGGCCATGTACCTCAATTCCAGACAGGAGCCCCAAACCCAGTCGGAACGGGATCGCAAGGATCCCATAGTACGGTGAGGCGAACGCCGGTTCCGGAAGAAACGAGATTGGAAATAGAAGACTCTTACCGGCGATCCCCGACGGCAAGGCGGATGATCGACCTCCTCGAGCGAAACTACGGATTGAAGCTGGAGGATGTGGGACTCGCTGGCGTACAAGCAGGTCCCGATGGAATGCAACCCCAAGCCCATCCTCCGCAACCGGCCCAGCATCCGGCCCAGCAACCGGCTCAGCACCCAGTCCCGCAGCACTGGATGCCAGAACCAACGAGCAGAATCCAATATTCGGCACCAGCACCGTCGATACCACCATGGCAGAACTCGTCAGGGCAATTCCAAGGATGGAATGGAACACACTCTCAGGCGCAGCATCCGACCCTCCACGCGACGCATCCAACCCAGCCGCCATACGCCCCCTATCCCGCTATGGCCTCGACTCCACCATATCAGGAGCCTCACCGAGGAAATTAACTCCCCCTATGACCGAGTGGGGCAGGATGGCCACGGATGACGGAACCACCAATGGAGCCATTCACGTCATCTACCGCAAGGTTGAACCCAACAGGCCTAGGATACCAGGAATGGGGGAGCACAGGAGGAGGGAAGAACGCCAATATCGGATTCAAACTCACCGACATTAGCCTCTTCTGGCCAGATGCACCATCGAGAGGCAAATCCGGAGATCCCCCAGCGGAAATCTTCTACGACAAGACTACGGCAATCTTTATAGACGCTCACTTATAGGTTGACTCAGTCAAATCCCACCTCGAAGGAAGCAGCCCTCAGCAAGTCGCTTTCATCAAGGAAAACGCATAGAGACTCGTCAGAGGCAGCGCATTGGTCTAGTGGCGAAGACTACTCGACGACCGAGAGAGGCAGACCTATATCGCATCAATCAGCGCCTTCCTCGACGCGGTGAAAACCGAATTTGGCATAGAACTTCAAGAAGCTCTAGAATGGCTAGACCAAGCCTATTTCACCCTCAAGGACGTAGAAAGCGACCGACCGCTACGAGATTTCTCCGCAAGAATCTTCGACGTATCCAGAGTAGTGGGAAAGGCCACAGACCTCGAGCTGCTTACCCGCTTTTACGCCAAATTACACCCAGAGCTACGGCAACTCTGCAGGGCACCGGTAGAATCCGACGAACGATCTAAATACATCAATATAGTAGACAGCAAGAGGAAGACCTTGCGCGAAAAGTTAAAAGCGGCACGCAACGGGAAGACCGGAAACGGAGCGAAGAAGCTCCAATATAGCGAAAAACATACGTATACCACCAACGAAAGGGACGATAAAGGATCCGAACCCGAGGATTCGGCACTATGGGGCAACGACCGCCCATGGAACAGAGGCTATAGGGACCGAAACCGCCCTCCTCGTAGCTAGAGACCGAGAGAAATCGGCGATAACACCTACGATGATCGACTCCGACCCCAAAGGCCAGATAACCCGAACCGACAAGGAGGAGGGTGGAACCAAAACAGAAACTGGGAACGAGGAGACGACCGAGGCCGCCCTAGCGAACGGAGGGGAAGAACCCCAGAGACGAAATCGGAATAGTGGAAGGAGACTCCGCCATAGGAAAGACAACACCAAGGGAACGAGGACCTCGGCAGAAGAGAGCCCAGATATAACCAACAAAGGCCACGAAATAAGGGCCGGGAAGGACAATACCGGAACCGCGGAGGCTAGAATCGGGATAAGCCTAAAAGAGCATACTACGCCGACGAAGACTCCCTAAGCGAGGAAGGAGCTGGCGAAAGCGATAAGAGCACCGCCTACTACGCCGAAATCACAGAAAGAGAGGAGGATTCTTACCTCGTAATAGAGGCAGAAGAAAGGCGTCATGTCAATTTCGCTATTAACGACGGCTAAGTCATCGAAGTAATAGGAAGACCCGACTTCAGTAACCAGTTAGGCGGAAAAGCTTTGACGCATCTCCGGATCCTCCTCACCTTCGAAGGAACAAAAGAAGCCAAGACCTACCAAGTATACTGCGATACCGGAGCCTCGGCTACCATAGTCGACGAGGCATAGCTCACGGAGCACGGCAAAAAGGTGACCTAGAAGAACCAAGAGCCGAAAACCCTCAGCGGCATAGGGAGAGTTACAAATATCACTAAATCCGCTACCTTCGACTTCTACCTTCCCGGAACCATACGAGGAAAAGAGGTCAAGGCCTACTTCACCGTCACCGCCGATATCGTCGACCAACTCACGCCCCATTTGCTACTAGGGACAGGCTTCCTATACGAGCACGGAGCCAAAGTCGATTTCGTCCACCCCAGCGTCTCTTTCAGATCGGCGCATAGCATAATCATCCGAGGGGAGATCTTCAAGAAGAGAATCTCGCCGCTTAACCGAGTGGTGAAGAGCGCCTACACAGTCACGGTGAAGAAAGGCGAAACCGCTTTCATCCCGGTCACTTATAAGAACCTGCCGGCGACACACAGATCAGATGGGAGTGAGGAGGCTTTCCACTTCCAAGGGAAGGATAAACGCTTTTTCGACAGCACAATCGACAGAAGCACCCCGAGGATAGTCATCTTCCACAACACCGACGGAAAAGACATTCGGATCCATCGGAGGCAACTCATAGGTCATATCAGCAACTACGAAGGCAACGAAACTGCGAACTTCATCGCTAGCGGGTCCGGAACGGTGGATTTCCCAGGCATAATCGGCAAGGATTTCAGACCAGGGGAGGAAGTCGAGAACATGCTCGCAACCGGCACGCTACCGATGACAACGACCGAATTGGAAGAGACAATCGACAAAGACGACCCAATCCGTATCGATGCCGGACTACCCAATTACGGGATCAGCCGCCCTAAAGGCATTCCCTCGGTACAGAACAGGTTCGGAGTCAAGGTAGCCAACCTCGACGAAAAGAAGGCCGCGAAGTTCATGGAGTTAACGAACAAATACGACATCTACAGGGACAAAGGCGTCGTCCCCATGCCTGAGGAAAAGAAAATAAGAATCGACCTCGTCGACGGATAGCAGAACCAGAAGAGGACCGTCAGAGCCTACCCAATGGGGATCGAAGACCGCCGGTTCCTAGACGAAGTCCACGGGAAGCTACACGCAGCGGGAAAAATACATCACCTGGACGAACCAACACCCATCGCCTGCCCTACTTTCGTCGTCTGGAGAACCGTAGATAGCAAGAAGAAGGGCAGAGTCGTGGTTGACCTGCGACCCCTAAATAGCATCACGGTGCCCGATATGTACCCACTGCCGGATCAGGAGGACATCATGGCGGATACGAGAGGGAAGAAGTACTTTTCGATATTCGACAGGACCGGATTTTTCCATCAGCTGCCTATCTACAATGCGCACCGCAATCGAATAGTAGTTATATCTAACCGTGGGTTGGAAGTTTCCAACGTGGCCCTAATGGGATTCAAGAACTCACCGGCTTTTAGCCAACAGTTCATGGACGGGATATTCCTCCAACATCGCGCCTTTATGCGCATCTATATCGACGATATAGTAGTCTTTTCCGACACTTTCGAGGAGCACCTCGAGCATCTGGAAGTAGTATTAAAGCTACTCGACGAGAATCGGTTAAAGATCGCCGCCGACAAATCCTTCATAGGATACAACGCGGTCAAGCTGCTCGGATACGTAGTCGACGGCGACGGGCTACACCGAACTCAAGACCGACTCGATGCTTTCGCAAAAATAGTATGCCCAACCGACCTAGCCGCTCTCGAAACCTACATTGGGATGGCCGGATACCTCCGAAAAGGAATTCCATGGTACGACGTGCGAATGCGCCCCTTACTCGATCGGAAGTCGCAGCTGCTGCGCGAAGCTAAAGCCGCCTCGAAATTGCCGACCGGAGCGTCAAAACCAGTCCGCAGGTTAAAAGCATCAGCCATCGCATTCACGCCTACGGAGAAGGAACGAAACGCTTTCGACGAGATGCAGCAATTCCTAACAGAACAATTCACCCTATGGCACCATGATCCAACAAAACCGCTTTTCTTCAAAATCGACGCGTGTAAGAACGGCTTTGGCCTGTTCGTCTTTCAGATCGACGGGGAATGGGACAGAAGCTCAATTCCTGGGAAGGATATTCCAAGCGAGAAGCTGAAACCCATCGGGTTCTTCTCGCGCCTAACCTCCGCGGTAGAGGCCAGATACGGATCGACAGAAGCCGAAGTCGCAGCGTTAGCATAGGCAGTACGAAAGATAGGAAAGCTAGTGCAATCAAGCAGGCACCCAGTAAATATCATCACCGACCACGCTACAACCAAAGGTATTATCACCCATACCTCTCTAAAGACCATCGATTTCAACAAAGCCAACCCGAAGTTGGTCAAGGCGGCCAACTACCTCTCCCAATTCGAGCTAAGGATATTCTACGTGCCGGGCATACTCAACGTAATCCCAGACGCACTCTCCCGCCTACCCATCGAAGACCGACTAGTAAGACGAGCCACCGAAAGCAACTTCGACGAGCTAGACTTCGTGGTGGCTTTAGCAAAAGTGGAAACAATACAAATTGGGATCACACCGGAGTTTCATCAATAAGTAATCGAGGGCTACAGCAAGGACTCGAAGCTAGGTCGGATATGGGATTATATCAAAGAAATCCAGAACGCGGACCGCCAGAACCGACGACCAAAGACGATACCCTTCCGGCCATAGGAACTCTCCGATGAACTCCTATACCACGTCGGATACGAAGGAAAACGGAGACTCTACATCCCACGACCCTTAGTCAAAAGCATCCTCGAAATCATCCACGATAATAAGCACCACTTCGAAATCAACCGCATGACTCAAGAGTTAGACCCGGTTTACTTCTACCGAATGTCGAAAATAATACGCAACTACGTGGCCCACTGCCTAGTATATCACGAGAATTCGACAAGTTAGAAGCCGACTTAGGGGGAACTACAGTCGATTGCGGTAGTACCACGACCTTTCCACATGATCGCCCTCGACTTCATTACAGACCTGCCGGAGGTAACCGCAGCAGGGACAATATGGTTCGTCGAAGGGCACGATAAACTCGACTGCCTGGCCCCCGTTAACTACGTGTTCTCGAAAAGGATAATACTCCTGGCAGGGCATACGTCATATACAGCAGAAGACTAGGCGAAGGTGCTTATCCGGATATTATTCCTACTAGATTGGGGAGTCCCCGTACGGATCATCAGCGATAGGGACCCGAAGTTCACATCCCAGATCTAGAGAGCCGTCTTTGGCTTCCTCAGAGTTGACTTCCTCATGTCGGCCGCGTATCACCCCTAGACCGACGGGATCTCAGAAAGAAAGAACCAGACGGTCGAAACTGCGATTCAGTACCACACCGCAACGGATCCGGACACGCCGTGGCCGGCTCTACTCCCATCGCTATAGCACAACCTCAACAACGCAGTATTAAACACCATCGGGAGAGCACCAAACGAACTGATTTACGGGTTCCGCCCACGCGGAATCCTCGACCTCGCAGCCACATCCGGAATCGAGGATAAGGAAGTAGACGCGCAAGCATTAGAGGCGCTACGTAAGATCTACTACAAGGAGGCGGAATTTCTTATTGATACCTCAGCATCGCTAGCTAAGATCAGGTACGACGCGAAGCATGAGGAAATCAATATCGACGAAGGTGATATAGTCTACCTGCGACTCCATAAGGGCTATCACCTACCAGGGAAACCTAAGAGGAAATAGTCACCTACGAGGGCCGGACCCTATAAGGTCATCCGCAAGATCAGATAGCAGGCATTTAAGCTCGACTTCCCAGAGCACTGGAAAGTCTACCCGGTTGTTTCGGTCGCCCATCTGTGGAAGCCAGCACAGGGAGAGGACCCATACTAACGAACGATTCCACCACCGGCTCCTATTGTAATCGACGACGAGGAGGTCGCGGACCACTGGGAAGTAGAAAGAATCGTGCAGCAACGAATCCGCTGGAAGAACAAGATGCCATATAGGGACTTACTGGTGAGATAGGTCGGCTTTACGGCCAAAGACGACAACTGGATAGCTAAACCCGAGCTCCGAAACATAGCGAGGAGCATGGTAGAAGCATGGAAGAGAGCGAATCCGGTGGACTAGGGCCTCGAATTCAAAAAGAAAAAGAAAAGTATGCCTAAATCCTTTAAACCAGAGGATAAATAAGGAATAAGCACCGCCTAAAACGGCGATAAACCGAGAGGAATACGCAACCGAAGACCTAGAACACTATTTTATTTATTAACCACTTTTCATATGTCTCGCATTTATCAGGGAACACCTTTTTCTAGCGATATTAATACCTCCCTTTCTAAAAACACTAATATTCAGGATAAATCCCGGAATCGAGGGATATCACAGCAGAAGCCCGGAGTTCATTAGACTCCTTTCCAGCAAGTAGGCACGCAAATTCAGCCTCAACACGACGGAACAAACCACGAACACATAGCACGAAACGAGGACAGAACCCAATGCCAAAAACAAGCAAAAACAAGCCGAAATTCACATATGAATACAGTCGAATTCACCGCAGGGATCAAAGCATATAAACCCCTACGACCCCGCTAAAATTTCACCCGATCTTCTACCTCGCACCACACCAACACAGACCCCACAGCACAAGCAAGGTCAGAACCAACCAGCCGCCGGCGAACCCACACGCCCGCCGCCAAAACCAACCAAACCGACAAATCACACCCAGCGAAAACGACAGGCCGCCGCTAAACTCATCAATTCACGATAGCGACTCCAGCCATTGACGACGATAGCACTCGCACTAAGGAGAGAATCGGCACTCCCACTGCCGATATAGGCGGAGTCCGCCCCGAACAGGATAAGACCATGCAGAGCAACATTAAAGGCGACAATAGCGACGTCACCGACGACAACACGCCTGCTTTCGATGACCTCTTTGACAACGACAATGCCAATCCTAGCCGGAAGGATATGGACATCAGCTCGAGCGACGACGATTCCGACCATAAGTCAGACCTCGAGGAGATTAAGCCAGTTCGCCCGCGCAAATTCGGCGGCAGACACCTGCTTCCCAGCAGCGCCCCAGGCAGTTCCGGAGGAGCAGCTCACCGCCGACACCAAGAGCATATCGACAAGCTAATGAACAGTCGCATCACCGGTAGCAACGATAAGGACGACAGTTTCAGCGGTACCTACGCTAACTACAGATTCGACGGGCCGGTCAGAGGATCCGCCACGAAGAAGGTCTAGACCCGAACGGACGCCCTCCAGTGCCTCCACGTCGAATTCTAGCTATGCAGCCCGGAGCACACCGCAGGAGAGCAGCCCGACTTCGATTGCTCCCGGCCCGATAGCGACCATCCGGAGTGGGATCTTTTCCTCCGTGTCGAACGACTAATCAACAAGTACTACGACGGCATAGAAAGCGGCGAACTCGACGAGGAGATAGCCGATAACGACACTCTCGTTGCTGGCAACGGCAAGATTACGACCCCCGTGACCGGAAAGGGGAAGGAGACTACCGGAACCAAGCGCGACAAGACCAAGGGTGAATCTAACGTAGTACGCAAGACCAAGAACCGCGTTCGAGACGCTACAAAGGCCTACATAAACGGTAGATACAGCGAGAGTCAGGGCAACAAGAAGTAGTAGACCGACTATCTACCCGATCAGGCCGAACTCATACTCCCACGTTTCGTCGATCCCTACGGTGCCACCAACGGAACCATCGCCGGACACCTCGCAACCATGCAACGCGGCTAGATGATCCAGATCGGGGGACGCCCCGCCACCGGAGTCAGCGGCAAGCAGGCTAGAGTCGACGACAACATATCCGCAGTCGCCGCGAATGCCGCCGCCACCTCGATCGCCACATCGAAGGAGGTCAACGAAATCAAGGCCAATATAAACAAACTCCGCGATCAGCTGGTCAACAAGGTGCGACAGATAGACGGCGAGCAGAAGCAAATCGTGAAGAAGGTCTCGAAGTTGCGACGGGAATCCGACTACTATCACAACGAAATCGGCAACCAGGCGATCCGAATTACCGCCTGTGAGGCCACGAAGGATGCAGTCGACGAGTACAACAAGAACCTCAAGGAGTTCAACGCCCAGATAGAGAAGATCGTGGTCGCAGAGGTGAAGAAGCAGCTGGCGGTCTGGCAGCCGGCTCCGGCTGTCCGCAAGCCAAAGGCAACCCCCGTCTTGGTCGATCCGACCACCAAGAAGCGGGCCAATCCGGCAATACGAAACCCGGCCGCCCGCAGCAGCACCGCCGCCCGCGGAGGCATCTCGAAGGCCAACGCTTTTCTCCAGCAGGTCGCCAAACCCGCCAAGAAGCGCGCTCCCGGACCCGCCAAGTCCACCGGCAAGACTAGCGCATCCAACGGGGACGAGATTAGCTGGGGCCAGAACTTTTTCGACGACGAGTAAAGCGGAGATGGATTATTTTTGGTGAGGGCCAAGGGAAAGAATAGAAGGATCAGGCAGAAGGATAATTTCGACGGAAGGACAGACGGAAGCATAGAGTTCAGGGAATAACCAGAATGTAAATAGGGAGAAAACGGATTTTTGTTTTACTGCTGGACTTGACGAAGGAAGGATGGGAGAGCGTAGATTCGGACTCTGCTGGGACAGCAGAGCTTTCGGGGACCCCGGCACTTGTTACATGCCCCAGTCATACGGGTTCCCCACGTGACGGATCTAGCGCTATAACAGTCAAATCCAGCAGCCATTAGTTAGGAAGAATCAACTTAGATTAGATTACTTACATTATGCCTTCTTTGCTCTCTATACTTTATGAATTATATGACTTCAACCAGATAGCTGCCAAAGTCAGCTATCTCACTGCCGCTTTCAGCGGTACCTCTATCCCTTACCAGAGCTAAGGGATCCATAACACTATAGAAGGAAGAATATTATCTATAATTCTATAATAAATGCCGTAATTAATATTAGAACTCGACGCGAGAATAATATATCTAAACCGCGCGAGAATATATAGGTATAATTAATATATAAGATATATATATCTATATATATTATTAAATAATAGTTAAAGACCCGTGATACCTAGAAGTATTATTTAACGCGTAAGATAATATATAGATATACCTAATATATAAGGAATATCTTAGTATCTTATAGATATTATACTAATACTATTAGTATAAGGAATATAAGAAGGAAAAATAGGAGTAAGACTATTTCTTAATCCCTTTATTATATTAACCTAATAATAAATTATACCTATAGTATAAAATAAAGGGATATTAGGTATTTTATTAATATAATATTATTAATATCGCAAAAGTATAATATAGCTAGGACCTATATAAAGTAATATATAAATACAAATAGAATAACTATAAAATCGAGAAATAATAAGAATAGATCCTCGATATAATATAAGAGGATAAAGGCACTCAGGAAATAATAGCCTAAGAAGAGGAGAGTGACTTAGATATAAATAATATTCCTATTCGGGTATACTATAAAGAAATAGCTATAAGTATATAATAGAAAATACGCTATAATATATAAGATAATAAGCGCATATAATTTATATACCCTAGATATAAAGAAATTTTATAGATCTCCTATAAGGACTACTACTATAATATATATATTTAAAGTAAATAAGAGAATAATTATTTTCTTATATAATTATAAGGATTTAATAATAAGCCTTACTTTACTTATAAAACCTATTAATATAAGGTCTATAGATAAAATAAAGGGATTAATATAATTAATATTTACTTTACCCCTAAAAAAGATAGATTTATTATTCTTAAATAATAATTTATTATTACTATATAAAAAATTATAATAAAAGAAAGGTAGGCCCCTAAAAGAAGCTACCTTAATATACAAGTAATATTCTATAATAAGGATATATACCTATAATATAGGCTATATATCTTAGTTATATATAAATAATTTAAGAAAATAATAAAAAAAGGATTTAATTTCCTTATATATATAGGAATAAAAGAAAATAAGAAATAATATTAAAATATCTAAATATACCTCAGAGAAGAATAAGGACTTATAGACTAAATCCTATAAGACTATATTAATTATATTAGAAATAGCGACCTTAATAAGGTCTACCTTATAGAGAGAAGAGATTATAATAATTACCCTAATAATAAATAAATTATAAAATAAGCCTATTAAGAATAGCTATATAAATAAGATAATTATAATTATAAGGTATATAATAAAAGCGAGTATAAATATAATTACCTTAGTTATACCCTTAATAAGTTAAAAAATTGAATATTTTATTTAATATAGGGCAATAAATAAATAAATATAAGAAAAAATTACCCTAGAAGGCCCTTTATTTTATAGATAAAAGATATAAGTAATAATACTTAGAATTAAAAGTATAAGTTAAGGGAGAATAATTAAATACTTTAGTAGATAATAGAGCTAAATAGAATTACTTTAACCTAATAGCGGTAAATAGGCTTAAGCTACTATAGAGGCATAAATATAAGCCCTATATAATATATAACCTTAAAGGAATACCTTTTAATTATAATAATAGAGTTATTAACTATAAGATTAATTACCTTAAGGTTTTTATTAGAAGAAAAAACTAAGGAATCTTATTTAATATTATATTAAATTAGAGCTATGATTTTATACTTAGGTATCTATAGTTATAATACTTTAATTTATATTTCGACTAGAGAATTAGCTAAATACTCTCTTGCGATATTAAGATTATAATAATTATAAGATTCTTAAGGGATAAACTAATTATATTAGTTTATATTAATAGAAGAGAATATTATATAGCCTTAAAGGGTAATATAAGTTATGTCTAATAATATACTTAAAGGTATTAAGTATAACTAAGTTATATTAATAGCTAAGGTAGCTAATTTATAAGAAAGTATATATCACGACCTGACATGCACCTAACCTCTGCAACATACGTAACCGCCCCACACCCGGGCGTTAATACTAATCAGAGAAGGATTACTACTAAAGTTAGATCACCGCGATCTTAGGATCACCGTGATCCTAGGATCACGACGATCCTAAGATAACCGTGATCCCTTTATAGCTAGCTTAGTATATAGCACGCACCTACGTGCACTTTCCTATATAGTAGCTACCTTAGCTATTAATATAACTTAGTTATACTTAATACCTTTTAAGTATATTATTAGACGTAATATTACCCCACCCTTTAAGGTTACGCAATATAATCTAGTGCTAATATAAACCTAGTACGATTAGTTTATCCCTTAGGAAATATCCTCTCGTTATATATTAATAGCTCTTATTTATTAGATTACTCGCGTTACCTTAAATAATATCAAATGCAATAGTTACTTAGGCTACTCCTAGTAATAACTACTAGTAGGTTCTACTTGCTAATTACTTACCTGCCCCCGTTGCATTAGTCTAGGCTAACCTTAATGGCGACGAAGAGATAGATAGCGATGATAAAGAAATTAAGTAACTCCGTGCTTAGGTTACTACTATAAGTACCGAAATAGAGGAACTTAGAGGACTTATTGACTACATAGCCGCTACTTAGTAAGTTTAAAACTAATAGTACTACGAGAATGTCTAGAATATTAATAATATAGCGGTTACCGCTATGAAGGGCAAAGATATTAGCGAAGTCTTAAAGCTAGAATAACCGGAAAAGTTTAATAGTACTATATATAAGTTACTAATATTTCTTATATAGCTATGCGTATTTATGCTTTATTACCCTACCTAATTTACTATGGCATCTAGTAAGGTCTAGTATGCCGCAGGGCATCTTACTAAGCACGCTATAGCCTAGTTTAAACCTATTATAAAGGAGTACCTTATTAAACTACTTAATAAATACTCGCTATGAACTACGAACCTTTACTCTAGCTTTAAAGCCTTTAAAGCTGTACTCTAATAAGCCTTTAGAATAGTGGACGAAAAAGCCTAGGCGGAAAGAAAAATTAAGGCACTCCGATAAACTCGCTCTGCGTCGGAATATAGCATTAAATACCTCTAGCTCGCCTCGAAGCTTAACTAAGACTAAGAACCCCTAATATCCTTTTTCTTCGATAGGCTTAAGAAAGAGGTATAGGCTAAACTCTATAAAGAAGACCGGCCTAATAACCTCGTCGATTATATTAGCCGAGTAGTTAGGATCGACGACTAATAGTTCTCTTAGAAGAAGCTCTAGAACCCCTATAATAGTAAAGAAAACTATTAGAAACCTCGGTTCGACGCTAATTAAGGGCGATACCGATAAAACGATATATCCTATAGAACCTACGTAGGACCTATAAAACTCGGAGTAACCTAATAAAAGAAATGCGATTACTATGGACTTAAATGCTGATACTGCTATAAGATAAACTATATCGAGAAGATCTACTATAAAAAGTAGCGTAATATTAAGGAAGGTCGCTATTAGCTATAGTAATAGTGACTCCCCGAAGGCAAAAAATAAGTAAGATTTACATAAATTAATAACGAACTATAAATAGCTCTATAGATAATAAAGATGCTTGGCATAGCACGAGCGGGCTATGACCGGATAGGAGCTATACCTAACTAAATTAATATACCCTATTAGTAAGCCTACCTTATAGAAGAATAAGCCAAAGAAAACGAGGTCGCCTAAAATAATAAGAAAAATTAAGTATACTAGATAACCTAGCCCCGAAAACTTAATTACGTAAACCTCATAGATTATACTAGGATATAACCGGAATAGGAGCTACTCCCGGAACCGGCTAATAAACTAGATAAGGACCCTAATATAAAAACTATCGCGGTTACCCGACGTAAGAAATCTACTAAGATAAAAGATAACTAAGTACTACTACCCTTAACCCCCTAGGAATAAACCGACTACTAGGAAGCCGCTATAGAAGGGTTCGACTATAAAAAATAGGTCATAGGGTATAATAAGAATGGTAAATCCTAGATACCCGCTGTAGTCTATCGAAGGGACTGCTAGTAGAATAACCTTATATAATGCGATTATACCCTATGCCCCTAATATTAGGCCGAGGCATTACGAGAATATAATGAGATCTATAAATAATAGAAGGTAGATTAATATAGTAGACTACTATATAATAATTAGATCGCAAAAATAGTAAGTAGCGGTTTAACCTAGGCATAAATTATAAATACTATAAACCCTTAGGAATACTAGTAAGAGAAACTTATACGAGTAGGAGAAGGAATATAAAAGACTAATAAAGAACTATAGAAAGAAGATCCCTACCTATAATTATACGACTAAAATGATAATTAATACTAGAATAATATATAGGAATAATATATCTAGACGGCACGAGAATATATAGATATCGCCGACGAATAAGAAATTTGTATTTGCGCCTACTATAAAGGATTAGCGGAAAACCCTAGATATCTAGAAGTACCTTTTAACCTATAAGACG